GGAGAGGAAATTAAAGTCCAACTAGAAGTGTAACTTTCCGGGTGATTCACACCAAATCAGTTATTTTTCAAACCGGTGTTTAAAATTTTAAAAATCTTGCGAGAATGCAGAAGAAAACCTAGACCAGTTTACTATGATGGCCAACACATGACAAGGGTAAAACAAGGATGCTGACAAGGTCTAAAAGATACTGATTTCGTTCCTGTTCAGGCTAGCTCTAGCTGCAGAGAATATTGTTTACCTTACCAGCAAATATTAAGAAATTTCGTGCTGTTGTAAGGAATAGCACGGTACAGCAGGTTCCACAACCTCGCGGTGTACAGTGCGTCACTCAAGGGCTGGAGAGTCTGAAAAATTATCCCAGTTTTTTTTTTATTAGCTCCGTGTTTTAACAGAGCTGTTGATTTAGACGACTGAATGCGCTAACATTTGCTTCCTGGAAGCTGCCACTGCTATCTACTCAATTCAATCAGTCGCTGTGCGGTGGCACTGAATATATGCGAAACTGGAAGTACAACATGAGCTTTGTGAGGAGCGTGAACGAGATCGAAATCGAACTGAACACAGTGGTTTCGCTGAAAGAGAGCGAATTCAACGAGGAGAAGCGGCGTGCCAATGAAATTCTAGAAGAATTCGAAAAAGATCAAATTGCAGTAGGAAGAAATGCGTCCAGTGCAAAAGCAATGTAAATTTAGGGTTTTGCGTAAACCAAAAAAAAAATAGTCCGGAAATAATTTTTATATGCTTACACTCTGCGCAAAAAAAACATACACAGTGTGTCTGTCGGCGAATGACGACGAAATTTTTTTAATGGACCAAATGTTAGGAAAATAAATTTTATATAAAATTTTAACCCCAGGTTTGTAGTGCGATAGTGCGATCACGCGCCTTTACGCTTAAATTGCAAATTGTTAACAGCAGGAAGGGTTCCTAGCTGCGGTTCAACACTTGGATTCATACAAGATATGTTTTGACTTTTTCTTACATGTGGGGAAAAAGGTGTTAGCTGAGAATATTGTTGCATTATGGACTGAGGGTGCTTCCAGCACGCGTGGTTATCAATTTTTGCATGAACCAGGTCATTTTTCGGGTGAACGGTCGTTCATTGGAAAAATGCAAATTAAAAAGAAAGAAGTCAGAATAGGATTACGAAATCCACAAAATAAACTTGCTTTTGAGTTTGCAATAAAATGGGGTATTTGTCATATCCGCGCGCGGGGAATTCCACTGCGAAGCTGAATTAAGACCATACATGAATATGTATTATTTTTGCAAAGTTTCAACTTCGTAGCTTGTCTGGCCAGCGAAAGAGCCGCTTCGCAACAAATATCTTTAAAATGCCCTAAGTCTTGGCGGAAGTGCAAATTGAAACTCAGCTTGGATATACAATTTCCTATACGAACAATGAATATACTGACAAGACTTCAGCTATTGTTTTCAATACAACTTTCGAGTTGGCATAGTGCCAACTTCGGGCTTTGGCGTGACCATATTTGCAGTACAAAAGTACGCTATAACTGAATTTGAAATCTTTAGCTCAAACATGCACAGAAAGTATCCCTGCAAATTCTTAACCTTCTTTCTTGTCCGGTTCACGAAACCATTCCTTACCAAAGAAACCTGCATACTTTTTTTGGGGGTCAGTACGAGAGATTCAGACGCGTATGAGCGAAGATTTTAAAACGGAAGGGTGACAAATGAGGTGAAATATGCTCCCTAAATTTCAGTTTTTCAACTTCTCCGATTACTGGTTTGAATATGGGGGCAAAGTTCATTTACTTCTGAACAAACTTACACACACATACATACATAGACGGCCTCTCTG